TCTATCTTAGGACCACTGTTGTTTCTTTTATTTATAAATGACCTTAGTAAAGTATCTAAATTATTACATTGTATTATGTTTGCTGACGACACCAGTCTGTTTTTATCCCATCCTAACTGTCAGGACTTACATAATCTATTCAATTCTGAACTTGAATTAATATCTGAGTGGTTTTACGCAAATAAAATGATAATCAATGTAGCAAAAACCAGTTATATTATTTTTAGTAACTTATTGATACCAGATTATCTTTCAATTAGAGTGTGCAATACAGATATTAAGTGTGTAACGTCAGTAAAATTTTTAGGCATTACAATAGATCATAAACTTACATGGAAAAATCACATTGATAGTCTGTGCAATAAGCTGGCAAAAAATATAGGAATAATGTATTGTTTAAGATCATTTCCAAAGGAGATTTTAAAAATGATTTATTATGCAATTGTATATCCGTATCTTAATTATGGTATTCTTGTCTGGGGTAATGCAAGTAATAATCTCATTGATAGATTGTTTATTTTACAAAAACGTGCAATACGAAATATGTCTCATGCACCTTACCTTGCCCATACCAACCCTTTATTTATTGAATCAGGTGTTTTGAAATTTCATGATATATATGTATTTCAGGTGCTTATATTTATGTACTTATGTAACAATCACCTCTTGCCAGACTATATTAAAACATTCTTTCAGTTCAATAATGAATATCATGGATACAATACAAGAAATGCTAATGATTTTCATTTACCCAAACCGAGGCTCTCATCTTTTAAAAACTCAATATTATTTCAAGGACCCCAAATCTGGAACTCTCTTTCTTCAGATATTAAACAAGCAATTTCGTTAAATGTTTTTAAGTCAAAATCTAGGCACTTTATTTTAGACAGGTATTCACCAAGTTTGTTTGTTTAAATGTATAGGTATACCCCCCCCCTTATGTTGTTGTAAGTGATTTGTTATTTTTTGTAGCGTCCTTAATGTATTATGTTACAGGGTCAGCTAATCACAAGGCTTGTTCCTTTCTTGCTGTCCCTCTCATACTTAATCCAAATGTATACTTTGTTATCAATTTTTCTTGTGAATTTTATCCTTTGTATCATGTTGATTTATGAATGTTTGCACGTGTTTTCTGGATTTTTATGAGCAAATAAATTGAAATTGAAAAAAAAATTAATGGGGGGGGGGGGGGGAGGGGGAGGGGAACAGCGAGCTGCCCGAATATGAATTTGTTATATCTTTTCTCGTATATTTTGCTAATAAATAACACTTTCACAAAATACATATTATCCTCAAATTTTTGCTCGCTCGCTTCGCTCACTAGCCAAATCGTGAAACTAGAAAATTACTTTTCGGGCGAGAGGCTTCAGCCCCCCCCCCGATGAAAATGTCAAAAAAATTACATATGGTGCTTCTAATATGACATTGTCAGTTTTGGTATGTTGAGTTGAAAAACGGTCTGCGCAATTTTCAAATTTCCGGCCCCCCCTATTGGAAAATCCTGGATCCGCGCCTGCAGTGGACGGATGCTCGATGGATAGAGCGTATGTGTCACAACTGGGTAAAATCAGGTGACTTTAATTCGTGATCTAGTTAAACTCTCTAATCGTCTCACAGGAAGATTAACACAATAAACAAAGACTTCAAATTCTGTTAAGTGTATCAAAGAATATCATTTTCTTCTTATCTTTATTACTTTACTTCTTATCACAATAGAAATACATATAAAGATATAAAGAATATATCGAACCCAACCCTGAGGTTGTAGTCTTAGCTGTCGTAAAAAAACACATTTGTACAGAGTATCGACACTAAAAATGGTCGTAGGTTTATCGTACGTTTGGAGATATAAATAAAATAACCCACTTTAGTGATGCAATCACTCTCAAGATGTGATATTTAAATATTGTTCATGGGAATAAAGAAACCATAGCTGTTACTGTTGCTGGAACTTGTCCACCGTAACGAAGGGGTTCCTCTAGCTGTAATGAAACCTTCATCTCTCCTTAGTCGTTACAGGTAGAGATCCACCCATTGTGGCATGAAACTTGGATACAGGACTTGCTCTGTACGTCCTAGCCGGAACACCATCTAAAAATTAACATTAACCCAGGCTATTAATAGTCTACGGAATAATACTAAATTATTCATCATCTACTTAATATCTTTTAACGAGACTATAATCATCATCAGGCAATACAATAAAATACATTACAGAAAAGGCTTCTATCATAATGATTTACATTGCATTACAAATATCCTTTCAACATTCGAAAGAGCCTGAATTACTGAGTGCAAATCCTGCGAACATGTACTTTCATTTATTATTCAAAAATGAACAAAATAATGTATAAAGAGTTACATTATTACTTTAGAGAAATGATTTGCAGTCTTCATTACTAATCCCTAATTCAAAGGTTCACTTGTGACCTTGACTGTCTCAATGACAAATGAACACGCCCAATGTATCATTATAAAAAGGAATACAAATATGGATTAAACTTGGATTAAACTTACAGTTTGACTGGTTGACTGAAATGCAGAAAATCGGGGCAGGCCTCAATGTCGGTTCTGGTGATCTTGACCCTCCATGAAAATTGGACTTGCAGCGCAAAATGCTATAAACAACTTTCATTCACCTCCAACCCATAGGTCCTATGAAACAACTTTCATTCACCTCCAACCCATAGGTCCTATGAAACAACTTTCATTCACCTCCAACCCATAGGTCCTGCCTGTATGACTTGTGTGCAGATAGTGACACTACACTGCTAGGTAAGGCAACCCACCCACCATAGCTATGCATCACCTGTTGGAGCTACAATGTATGTAGAGTGCAGTGGAGCTTAACTACCCAATGCATTCAACCCAATTCTGTAATCTACATAACAAATATAAAGCGGGTAGCATTGAGGGGAAAGGTTGAATCCTAACAGTATGAAACACGTATGAAATGAGTACACAACGGATGCATAGCGTTTTCCGACGGATGGCAAGATTTGTTTACGTTTTACATCCTCTTTGAATCAGTAGGGTGCTTTAGTAACGAGACGGAAGGCAAAGAGGACGGGAGAAATCACTCAACCGAGATCAAATAATGTATGCAGTTAAGATTCTGTCTATTGAAATACTATTATTCGTATCAGGTGAATGAAATAATTTGTATTGAGGCACTTCACAGAGACGTATGCATTTAATTTGGTTACATTACGAAAATGGTCTATTGTACGGCGATACAACTCTTCCGTCGAGTTTAGGGAACGAACGCTATTATGGCTGAGACAGGTCGTGAAAATCAACAAGACGGAGACAATTCTGGTTCGCACATGCGCAGATTGATTATTTTGCTCGGTTACCCTCGTCTTTGCCTTCCGTCATTTTCGTAATGTAACCAAATTTAATGCATAAGTCTTTGTGAAGTGCCTCAATACAAATTATTTCATTCACCTGATAAGAATAATAGTATTTCAATAGACAGAATCCGAACTGCATACATTATTTGATCTCGGTTGAGTGAATTCTCCCGTCCTCTTTGCCTTCCGTCTCGTTACTAAAGCGCCCTAGTAAGTGCAGTGGGACCGGGCCTTAAGCGCAAAAAGTTTTGTGCTGCACAAAACTTTTAGAACGGATGAACTTCCGCCGTGTACGATGTAAATCCGCGACAAATACGAGCAACAAACGTTCTATGTCCGTTATCATCCGTTAAACGTCCGCTGTATCCTCTCTGCATCCTCTGGGCATCCTCGCAACTCATATCCGCTGGAGCTGAAAACGGAAAGAGAGAGGAAAGATAAGGTACATGGAACGTCTATACATCGTTAGTAGCACGGAAATAGAAAGGATGTAAGCGTATGCATCTCTTATATAAAGTATTCAAAGTTGTCATCCACTTCCATCCGCTTTCATCCGCTAGGCTTCCGATGAACATCCGTTTAACATCCCCGCTACATACTACCCACGTCCGTTATTTTCCGTTCTGTTTTCGCAAGTTTTCGCCAATTTTGTCCATTTCTGGAGCGGATGAAAACGGATGGAGCCACCCTCGAAATTTTGCTCGTCCGCTGTGTTCCTTTATGCATACGTTTTGTGTCCATCGGCCAGTGGGACCGGGCCATTATGTAGACTTCACGGAATCGTCGTTTTCGTCGATAAGCATTTATTGGTCCTAAACTCATTCCAACCTTTAAATACTTCTTTGTGTTTACCTTGTTCTGCGGTTAATCGTACTTTGCTCGTGATTAACCTTATTTGACCGTTTATAAAAATGTTTTATCTACATGTTATAGTGACTATCAAGCATTTTTACACACAAGCGGGACAATAACCGGAGGTAATAAAGAACTCTGATGATATGTTAGTCGTTATCTACGTTCATAATTCTTAATCAAGTCACATGATTCTCATCTCCCTTGCTGTGTCACTGAAGGTACACCAAGTCGCAGAGCGAAGATTCAGTTACTATAGTCGATGAGGAATAATTCACAGGTAAATCGCCAAAGGAATTTTAGTTAAATTACCTTTAACTGGATATACACTTGTGTGTTCTAGTTTTGATCGCTCTTTGACCCATCACTGAACACCATCAGTCTCCAGAGTCATGAGCTAGTGCTACAAATAGGCCGTGAAACAGTAGGATTTACTTAGTAGGTTCGGTCGATTAGATTTGATGATTTTTTAAAATATTTTTTACTATCCTACCTGACTGACAGGTATTAAGTGATGTGGTCTAGGGGATGCGTCATCGGACTGCGGATCAAATGGTTCGCATCCCAACTGCGCAGTTCTAATGTCTTTGGCAAAGCATTAATCTGCATTTTCCCACTTTCAACCCAGGTGTACAAAGTGGGTACCTGTAATTCACTGAATACTTTCAACACCTTAGGGCAATTTAGCTAACGGAAATGACGCAGTGGCGCTCTGTAGGAGCCGTGACATACACAAGGGTAGATATTTGCCCAATAATATTTAGCTATTTTTTTATCATCATGTCTTTTATACAGAGTTATCTAACATCCAGTCCTCATTGCCATGGAAACGGTCACCTACACCGGTGATGATGATGACACCATCATCGTTGTGGAGGAGCAGAAGGAAGGCGACCATCTCGCGGAGGTTCAGAGAGAAGCCAGAAAGAGAGCAGACTCCATCTTAGGAAAGTTGACGAGTTCGATGACGTATAAGCTAGCTGATAGACCTCCCTGGTATTCAACAATAGTCCTCGCGTTCCAAGTGAGAACAAGTGTTATTTAAAGAGAAAGTTGAGTTCTGGGAAAAGTCAAAAATATTTTGCGAGCTTGTCCATTCTTTTTTACGTAAATGTGGAAGAGTATCATTTAAAAAAAAACTGTTCAAAAGCCCTCATATTCGAAATATCACAGGTAACAGGTGAATGTTTGTGCAATCCCATAGTGCCTGTGACTTTTAGCAGGACTGGGCGAATTTTTAAAATCATTTTGATGATTTCAAAACCTCAAAGTATACACCAATACTTCTGTGCTACATAATCACATTCCCATCGCTTCCACACAGTTTCTTTCATAATGAAATCGCTTTATGGTATACACTACATTGTAAAATAAACCGTCTGGAAGCAATTGAGCATGTTGGGAGAGATTAATGTACTACATAGGAAGTGACTTATACAGTGAGACGAGTTCTAGCATAATCAAAGTGAAAAGAAACCGATTAAATCTTACTGAATATCAAACGTTCTACATGCAACAAAAGGGTATAAGGGAAAACACCAAAGTGTGGCATCGACACACTATTTTTCCCAGACTTGGGGATTATCGAAGCAGACTGATATAGCAAAGATGCTGAAACATTACCATACGTAAACATTATTATGAGTGAAACACAACAGGTAAGATATTTGTCAGTTATTCTTTTTCAAAGTTACATCGAATTGTGGAGTAATATATTTACTAACCTCAAAGTTCGAATGGAAAGTAAACAATGGGCGATAAAAAAGTAAATCCACAAAAATAATGTTTGCAGTGAACGCTGGCATAAGCATACATGAACCGTTTCGCCGGAGGGGGAGGTGGAGGGGGCAGGACTGATGTCTCTTGCCCTAATATAAACTTTCCATTTAAGGGGGAGGGGGGGGGGCAGGATTGATGTCTGTTGCTCGAATATCAATTTTCCAAATATTAATTTCCAAATATTGCGATCTAGTGAAGCGAGCGAGCAAAATATTGAAAATTAGGCAAAGACAATGTATACTAATGTTCGGCGGTCAAAATCCTACACCAACTGAACTCCTAACTTCGACCCTAGACCCAACTCTTTACCTGTTAGTAAGTCACTGATCACCTTCTTGTCCTGATGCCTGTAGGCCCGTCAATTGAAAACGTCTGAATTAGATCCCGCCTCTCTGCTCTGTCAAGGGCCAAGTACCTCATTTTCTCGTGAGCTTTCTCTTCTCTTTGGGTGATATCTTTAATTTGGTCTTCCTATCTCTTTCGCGGTCTTCAAATATCAGTGGCGGATCCAGGGGGGGGGGGGGGGCCCGGGGGGCCCGGCCCCCCCCCCCTTGAGAAAAAAATCATGTAAAATCACGTGATTTTTACCTTTTTTTTTTGGGGGGGGGGGTGCAAATTGAAATTTTTTTGAGGATAAAAAAAAAAAAAAAATGTGCTCACTCCCCCCCCCCCCCCCCCCCCCCCACTGAGCGAATTTTCGGCCGGCGCGATTTTCAAATTTTCGGGAGCAAAAAAAAAAAAAAGTTGGGCCCCCTCCCCTAAGAAATCCTGGATCCGCGCCTGTCAAATATGTCTTTCCTTTTCGGTTCCTAACCCTAACCCTAACTAAAACACAACTGCAAACAATACCCGAACCCTATTCCTATGTATGAAATATAGCCTTGACCAATTGCAGCCGGAGCAAATACCATATTTTAACAAAAGATATCGCTTGCTCTAATTCTTGATGTTTCATTAATATGATACCTCTAGCATTTTCTAACAATGTTCGGTGGATGCCTTGCCATACCCTTTGTGTTGGGACCAGCTCTATGCATCGAGGGGAAAGTTATTCTCCTCTCCAAACTCCTCGCCACTATCTGCTTTCTATCTGGAATCCAGACATTCATCATGACGACCTTTGGTGTACGGTAAGCACACCTATGTCCTTTCCTGCAAAACAACAACACGACAATTACTAGTACTATGGTACCAGTACTACTACTACTACTACTACTACTACTACTACTACTACTACTATAATACTATTAGTACTATACTATTTTTCTACTTCTACTATTTCCACTACTACTACATGTACTTATAATAATAATACTTATACTAATACTACTGCCGATGATAATAATGTTATTCTTGATGATAATAACAGTGATATATCTATTTACATAATGCAAGCTGCCATACCAATATAGTCTATCGAGTTTTACAAAGTATCCTATTATTACATCGGCTCTATCAGAGATACCATGATTCGGCGCTGACTCCCAGCCTTAATAATTAAAAGAATATCATTCTACCGAGTACCATTTACTTCACATAAGTGGAGAGCGGCAAATTTAGATTTAAGTATAGCAAAACGACACAAACGCCATTCTAGGGAGTGGACGAACCATGCATCATGCGTTCCATATCACCTCTATACATTACGTTGTATATATTATTTTGCTTTGAACGTTCCCGAATTGACCGAAATATTTTTAGAAATAGTGTTTTTTCAATTTTTGTGAAAATTTCCGACCTCATGATACGGATGTACTTTTTCCAAGAGAGTGAAAGTGATACATGCAAAATGTACGTGTTTGAATTCCATGACCACGATGACTGGGGTAATATATTTATAATGTTTTGTTTCGTATCAAGCTCACTCAATTTCTCAATGTAATTTATGATGAAACCATTTCTTTCTTATCCTACTGAGAAAATGGTCAATTATTATTTCGTAAATGCAAACTGCACTCCGACCCCAGGGAAGTATGGACTTAAGCATCCCGCAGCTCATGCTGTTGAAAATTACTTTTAATACATTTCCCCTTTCTCTACCATTTTTTCCATGACGTAGACTTCCCATTGTCCAGGGACCCTCGTTTGCTTTTGTTGTTCCGTTAATCTCTATGATGAATGTGCGAGAGGCCTGTCCAGCTGGAGGCGGTAAGTCATCCTAAAAGAGCATAGTAGTGTTTCCCCCTGTCCCATGATTGTGATTAGTAAGGTATAGCAACAGTGTTAACAGTACAATGTGTTAAAACAGTTCAAACTCTGGGTGGAGACAGTGGTGATCACACTGAGGGAACAGTGGGAATATAGTGTGGAAATCGTGTGAAACCTCTAGATGACAGCTTAGAGAAAACTTAGTGAAGAAACGGTGTGACAACAATCGGGACAAAGAACACAAAATGTGAACCCAGTAACGAGAAATAGTGAAAACAACGAGGAAAAGGCTGAACAGTGTGAAGACTTTGACGAAACGCAGTGAGCTCAGTAGGAAAGTGTGTTAAGAGTAGGAAACAGTGTATAAATAGTGTGAGCACAAAGTGGAAAGTTTCAAAACTTCCCACAGTTTTTGCACCCTCTGTAACTTTTGTTGTTATTTTACTTTCTATGGTTAATATGCGAGCGGCTCGTCAGCTAGAGATGGTAAGCAGTCTTGAACTAAGTGCCCCTCACTGTCACACAGTTAAATCTGAAAGCAGTCGTTATGATGAAATTGTGGCAATACAGCGTGGCACCAGTGTGGAAACATAATGAAAGTGGTATCAGCATTGGGAAACACGTCTGAATATTGTATGGAAAAAGAATGAATGAAGTATTAATTTGTCCGAACTCTAGGCCGAAATTGTGCGGAAACAGTTTAAAATAAGTGTGGAAACGTTTTGAACATAGCGTAAACAGGGTGAAAATAAGTCCTAGTGTGTGAGCACACATTCTGTTTACACTGTGGTCCCCGATAAAATCATGTACGTGTGGATAGTTCATCTACGAAGTGCGTAAAGGTTAGCATGTATTGTGATGTTTTAATAGCATCACAGTAATTACCTGTTAAATATTGCTAAATAATCACAAGAATAAAAATAGATGAACACAGGCATGGATACATTGGACTACATAAATGTTTTATATGAGAATTTGGTGCAGAGTTTAAGACTTATTTGTAGCCATTTGTTAAATAAGAGAGCTCTCTAAAGCAACTTGTTCCATGGGACATAGCTACTACGAGGTTCTTCTAAATAGGAACAGAATAAATGATGAAGCTCTTAATTGATTGATTAAATCTCTTAAAGAACTCGAGCTTGTCCTCGATACCAAGAACCATATTTTCGCGTCCGTGACATACATGTACGTTTGATATAACATTTGAATGTTAACATCGAACGTGAACAAAACACACATCGCTCTGAACGGCTGTAATTGTCTATTTCTTGTAAATTAATTCAATGAGCAGCAATAAAATGAGAACGATGATTCGATGAATCGATGATTTTCCGTGAATCTAGAAAAACATTGCTTTTGCATAAGTGATAAAATCTTGAAAGGGTGCATTATGAGTAAATAACATTTAAAAAACCCTTATATATCAATTTTTTAGAAGGATAAAAGCTAAGTATCAGTAGTACTATTTCACTAGCAATCAATACACTTTTTCCTTCAGTTTTTCTAATGGATTTTGTCTATTTCTCTCATTCAGATAACTCAACGAATGTTGAGGATAATGCAGAGTTTTATAGTCGCATGCAAGAGGTAAGATAAACTACTATATTCGGAATCATCCCTTTATTTCACGTGCCAATATTCTAGAATAGAGATAATCAATATAATTAGAAACACCAGAAACATATCTCGTCAGCATTATACAATGAATAAAAAAACCGTTATATTTCATGAAAATCATAACTCATCCTTACAGATTATTTCCAGTAATTGATTTATAATTAATATCATGACTAATGCAATAAATAAGTTTGATATTTTAGATTTCAAACAATATGCTATTCCCTGTTTTAAATCTAGAAGGGTCGAGTTTGTTTTAATTCACATGGTTTGTGATGGGAGTATGTTTGCAAGAATCGTAACGTAAACATGTAATCTAACAATACAAGGATATCTGTAATTGCTTTACATAAATAAAAGAAAAGGAAAAACAATGCATAATGGAGCGAGGTCTATGCAGCGTCCGCATTAAGCAAATACGTTTATCTAAGCGAAGGCTCGTCTTCGTTAAAGGTAGACCAACTTAAGCCAGACCACTGATTTTTGGAGCGCCGAGTGTGAAACTCTTCATGTTATACACATTAATGTCATTCTGTTAGGACAAAATAAAATCGATCTTTTTCCTATACTTGCAGACTCAAGGGGCCCTTATAGTGTCTTCTTTTTTCGAGATTGTTCTTGGTTTTACTGGAATCATCAGTATCCTGATGAAATACATCGGGCCTCTAACCATAGCACCAACGGTTACTCTAATAGGTCTGTCCCTCACACCCGTTGCAACAGAGAAGTGCAGTGTCCACTGGGGAATTGCAACGTTGTAAGTATTCCATATACAAATTCGCTCTGTTGACTTTCAAGTTTGCTCAGTCGGTAAATTTGGCTTCCTGTCGAACCAACGATCGTGGGTTCAAATCCAACCTCAGTGGATTACTGAAACCTGTGTTGTGTGCTAACGTGCCCATCCCCCGTTTCATAGACACAAGCAGGTTTCCCAGGAACACACTCCGTCCCTCGGACAGGATGTTAAGAAACAATTGCACTTTTCGTATAAGAGTAGGGGAAACCCCGGTGTGGTGGTGCACCTGCACATCCAAATCAGTTATAGAGGGAGGAGAGACAATTCACAGTCATTCAATTTGCTCTCCGCCTCCTCGGCACAGGTGACGCCAAATACTTAATAATATGATAGTAATATTAATGATGATAATGATAACAATAATAATGATAATTATAATAATAGATAACAATAATAATAGTAATGATAGAAACAATAATGATAATAATAATGCCAGTGGGTTGTACAACAAATACTTATTCTAACTCCAACCAAATTCCTAACTTAAACCCAATCCCAATTATGTACATAACCCTAAGCCCAAATACAATATAAAGCCCTCCATATTTCACTCTATCCTAAAGAGATAAAAGTCCAAGTCCATGTTCAAGTCTAATACAGTTAAACCTGTATACAACACAAAAACACCCATTGGGAGGTAAAACAGAGGCCTTTACGAGTGAGAGATCATTGGAAACAGATGCCTTTTTTCCACATGAGAAAACATTGAATTTTATTGTTTATTGTTCCTTGTTCAAACAAAACAGTTGTTGGTACTTATTTCTTTTATAATACATTTTACAAGAGATCAAACGATATACAGTATTCTTTTATGTAAGGTGTCTAGAACATTGATAAAAGAGAACAGCACGTGTAGAGGATTACGTCTAAATAAATATCACTTTGGTTGTAAATCGTAAAACTGTTTCTTTACTTAAATTTGTTTTAAGGTTTGTGCACTCGTTAAGGACGATTTGAGAGGAGAGAATATAACACGGACAGTTCGCCCTTTTTACTTTTTAGTAACGATGTTGTGAGTTTGAATCCCAGCCTAAGTATAGAGCCCCAGAACAGATAGCCATGGCCGATAGAACATATAAAAAATACATATATATTTCTTTGCACAGGGAAGGGTACAACTATTAAACAATTATTGGTAACGGTATTACACGGAGAAGTGGTAATTGTCATGATCGTGGGCGTAGAAAATGAGAGAATAGGGCGGGGGGGGGGGATTATGTTTCCTCCCCATAATTTTAGGTGGGGAGAAAGAGTGTACAGTATTTCCCCAGGTTGCAGTGCCTCTTTTATATGTGGTGATGTGAGAATAGTTCGCGCTTGACCTAAGTTCGCTATCTCAAAAATCGGAAGGATTTCGAAAATCTGATATCACCAATGGAAATAGTAACATAAGATTACTCAGAGACGAATTTTCCTTGGAATTGGGTATGGAATTGTGGAAATATTTACAAAAGATCGGCAAATTTTGCAGTCATGTGCGTCCGTTCCGAAAAATTATGAACTTACTGATAAGGGTCTGGTAATCTTCATTTTGAGAGCAGATATCCTCAAAATTGTAAGTAAAAAGTGGTAAAAACTGATTGTATGCTATTTCGCATTGAAAGTTATGATATAACCTTATTTTTGATGGATCACATTTTATGATAAATCAGTTGTAAACTATAAACACTCGTGCGCTAAGTATTAAAGGTCTCGTTGTTTTGATGACTTTTTGTTAGTTGCAGCGCGCACGCCGATCCGAAATTGAATTTTCTCGATCGCAATATCTCCTGAATCCTTTGACGATGAATGTTCTAGTTATTTTTTTTTTTTTTACATGTTTACACTTTATTGTTTTTTCATTAATCATCCCTCAAAACTGAGGACCTGTCTTCGGCACTGGCCATAATGAATTAACATTTTCAATTTGAAAGGAAAAAAGACGATCTGAGTTCTTACCACTTCAGCCAATTTAATTTCTTTGAAAATGCTGCTCTGCTCTTTCTGATTCTTTGTGAGGAAGACATTTATTTTTGCAAAAAAGAAGAATGTTGATATATTTTAGATTTGTGTTGCGTTTCGTCCATATGGAATTGCCATATCATGTGATTTTCTTAACCCCTTTGTTCCCTCTGTCTGTTTCACAGCACGATGGCGTTAATCATTCTCTGCTCTCAATACATTGACCGTCTCAAGGTTCCCTGTCTAGGGTTCAGCAAAAGCAATGGATGCCATGTCTTTAGATACCCCCTATTCCGCCTTTTCCCGGTAAGTACGAACCATTCTACCTCAAAGCAAAAGAAAACATTTAAACATTATGTACTGATTTTTTGCAGTTTCGGATTGGAATTTTTTTTTCGGGGAGCGGGGCATTTAAATGATGATAATAATAAAATATAATATTGTTATTTATATGGTGCCGGTATCCGTCAGGTTCTGACGCCCATGGCGCTTTACACATATTACACTCGTTAGATCTTCACGGAAGTCTTATGCCACCTAAAATTGTCTAAAGTCTTTTACGAGTGGTCCAGATTAGCAAAGTTCTCCTGCTTCGAAATGATTGAACTACAATACTGAATTTTCGATTGCGTAGAAGAAGTTTCTAGTAGGCCCAAGGCTCGTGAAAATTCCTGGTTTTACAATAACCAATTGACACATATTAAAGATAAAGGTGAGTTCTGGTAAATGCGATTACATTGTGAAATAAAAGGTGTGGAATGGATTAGAATCAGTTGATCGTGTAGCATGTAAATATTGGTGTGCACTGCAAGGTTATGGAGTCATCAAAATCAAAATAAATTTGGCCCAGTCTTGGTAAAGTAACAAGCACTGTACATAGAAAATGCATATGGGACTACACAAATAGTGCCGGTGCTAGTACTACCTTGATTTCCTTATCTTTCTTTGCTCATTACTCAGCCAGTACACATTTTCTTCCAAAATTGTTTAGCACATGTCATTTATTTGTAATTTTGCACACTCAGTGTAAGTTTCGTTTGATTCTGTGAGAATTATTATTATTATTTTTTTTTACCAGAACTCAAGTTTATCTTTAATACATGGGGCAAATGTGGTACAGGGAAGGTTTCAAGGAATCGCCCTATATTTTTAGCAGTCACATTTTTATGGTTGTTAAGTTTCGTCTTGCATAACAAATCCTTTAATTTGTTACACATTGATTGCAGATCTTCATCGCCGCAGTCCTTTCGTGGCTACTCTGTTTTATCCTGACTATCACTGATGTGTTCCCAAATGATCCTAGCTCACCTAACTACAGGGTTCGTACCGATGCAAACAGTGAAGGCGTGGCTAATACACCTTGGTTCTATTTCCCTTACCCAGGTGAGAAATTTTTTTTTAAAAGTAAACGAGGCAATTGACCACTTCGAATAGGGGGGGGGGGAGAGGGTGTGGAAACAAAAATGCAATTAGTTTCTTACCTATGCTAGCAGTGATGTCGTGACTAAAGCACCTTGATTTTTTCCCTTACCCAGTGGTAAATCAGGAATTGTAAGAGGGGAAGGTCCAGAACTTTGTCTTAAAAATGGGCGAAAGGCCTAAAAATATTGTACAAGCAAGACAAGCGAACAATCATGCAACAAAAACAAACAACAAGAACAATACTTATGATAACCCTTAAAGACTGAATATCAGGTCGAAAATATGAAGGTATGGCGTACACCTAAGACTTATAATTACAAAAAGGTAGGGGGGGGGGGGCAAACAGCTTGTGAGCGTCAAGTAACGCCCGGCTGGAATGCTCCCCAGGGAGTGGAGATTGTGCACACAGTGTGTGCGGGCAAGCACTGAATCCAATGACCGGGGTAATAGTATATTTGTAAAGCGGGCAAGCACTGAATCCAATGACCGGGGTAATAGTATATTTGTAAGCGGGCAAGCACTGAATCCAATGAACGGGGTAATAGTATATTTGTAAGCGGGCAGGCACTGAATCCAATGACCGCGGTAATAGTATATTTGTAAAGCGGGCAAGCATTGAATCCAATGACCGGGGTAATAGTATATTTGTAAAGCGGGCAAGCACTGAATCCAATGAACGGGGTAATAGTATATTTATAAAGCGCTAATAGAGAAATTTGTATTAAGCGCTATATAAAAATGTAATATTATTATATAATAGAAAATTAGAACAAACAACAAACCCCACAAATCTGAAGAGGTGGCATATATGTTTTGGTTAGGTACTCATTTCATTTGGCCATCGGGTTTTAAAAGTGGATGGTATGGGCAGGTTCTAATCCCTTTACCTGCCAGCGGTTTTACGAGAAAAGATGAAACAAAATGGCGTAGTCTGAGGGAACTAGTAAGACCTATGGATTAAAAAATGCAGTGCTTTTCAACCTCACACTTCCGACTGCATTACAAGTATAACTTATTACCTAATACTTTGTATGTTTGGTCTCAATAAGTACAAGGTCAAAATAGCTGAGTTTTAGGCATGGCCCTGGCCTCTGATGCGTAACTCAATAACAAGCAGTGCATTTACCTTTCAGAAGCGGCATCCAACACCCTCTTCTTCATAAACCCTGAAATTGTAAAGGTTTTTTGTTGACAATATTGATTGTCGTTCAGTCTCGGAAGATTTTGATTTCACCAACATGATTTAATCTTGCCAAAAATTAAAAAATCACACCCTAAAGTGATGTGCATATAATTATGTGATTGCATTGACCTTTACCGTCAAAATGTGGTCCATAGATGTGAACAGTTTCTTGCAAGATGAAGGATTAGGATAATATAATATTAATACCATGCTTTTCTATTTAGGAATGACATTAAATATTTAACCAACAGAAATTAAATCTTGGTTTGTTATGACAGGTCTGTTACTGGCATTCGATCTTGTGAGGCACAGATATGGGTGTATTTGACTACATTAGATGAACAAGTTAAAATCTATTTTCATTCTTCTCTTTAATCTTGGAAAGGACAATGGGGAGCGCCCTCTTTTTCTGCAGGAGGTGTGTTTGGGATGAGCGCCGCCGTTCTTGCCTCCATCGTTGAGTCCATTGGGGACTACTACGCATGTGCCAAACTATCCGGAGCACCTAATCCACCCGATCACGCCTTGAATAGAGGGATCGGCATAGAGGGCATTGGCGGTTTCCTCGCAGGGCTTTGGGGCGCATGCGTCAGCGCCACATCGTACTCGACCAACATAGGGATGATCGGATTGACAAAAGTAGGCATATCAAAACGTTTTTTTTTTTACATCCATCTCCATTCTGCTAAAAATACCACATATTTGGCAAAGATTGACTAGTGTAATATGGAAAAGACTATGTTCTTTCTACTATAGTAAAGCAAACAAATTACACTTTCATTTTGATTTACTAGTGTTGTTTTATTTGTTAAAGTAGTCAATTTATTGTTATTTTCAGCTCGTTTTCTGTGTAGAATCAAATGAGTCGGGCGACAGAGCTTTATTACCATGTCACAATTTGGCATACCGCCCTCTGCTACCGTTTATGATAATGATAGGCCTAAATTACCTAATCTGCACAACTGCTGCTGCCGTACCACGGTAACTGATGGCGACATAGAACAGAGGTGTCATGGTCCCGTGGAAACGTCGCCGGATGGTGGATCATTTGGTTCGCGGTTCGAGTCCCACCGCAGCACTAGTGTCCTTTGGCAAGACATGTATCTACATCTGACCCTCACTATGCAAGTGAAGTTAATGGGTATCCAGTAGGAGAAAAAAAATCCTTGAATTCTTTAGCGCATTATTTTGGCGGCTCAGCTACAGCTGTGGTAATAATATGATACTTCATATTAAGTGCAGTAGAGTTTATTCATATAGTTGCCGCGCTATATAAACAGACCGATCATTATTATTATTAACAGAGAATTCATTCAACATTAGTCATCTCTGATTGCAAGCTTAAAGACCGAAGCCCGTATTTTTGTAATGAGATAGATTTGTCGCAGCGCAAAAGAAAGGCCTAGGTTACGTATAAATACATATAGATCCCTGGTATAAGGTCACAATGTCTTTTGTTGATGTGGGCAAAGATCCATCTCTTATACAGCCAAATTAAGGAATAAGGCATGGTGGCTCAATGGTTAGAGCGCCCGCCTCATGAACGGGAGGTCGTGGGTTCGAACCCCGGTCGAGTCAAACCAAAGACTTATAACAATGGGACCTTCTGCCTTCTAGCTAGGCGCTCAGCATATTAGATTGGAGAAGGGTAATAATAACAAGTGGCTACCCGGGGTAAATAAAACGTTATTATTATTATTATTATTATTATTATTATTATTATTATTATTATCATTATTATTATTATTATTATTATTATTATTATTTATTATTATTATTATTATTATTATTATTATTATTATTATTATTATCTTTTATCTTTGGTGTCCTACCGTTTGTAGGTGAGCAGTCTCTTGGTAATTCAAGTGATGTCCACTTTTCTTGTAATGATGGGAATACTTCTCAAGTTTGGTGCTGTATTTGCGACTATTCCCGAACCAATCATCGGTGGCATCATCGCTGTATCTGTAGGTAAGAAAACACTGCTCCCTACCATTTCTTTTGGCTTCTTCCGTTGTACTATTTAACTCGGGGGCGGAACAAGATTTTGTTTATAAAAAATAAGGGAGGGATGTGATGCAATTCCGACGACAGTAGCAACGTAGTTCCCCATACGAACTTCAGTCTCAGTCCGCCCCTACGGGTTCCCCCAAGTTCCCCCAAGTGTCCTCTTGTACTCACATTTTATGAGAGGGATTTGTGCGTAACCATAAACAGCGTCATCTACGACAAGGAGAGCTTAAAGTCGACGAACGCTAACCAATATTGTACCACTTATAGAAAAAGAACAGTTGTTCAGCTTCAGATTGAGATAAATTTGATTGGTCCATTTGGAAATTCAGTTGTTGACATTACATAAATCACATGAACAATATACAATGAAAAATAATATACACAAATAGATAATACACATTAGCAAAGTTACAATGACATAGTCATATGGAAACACGGATATCAAACGTTTTTACATAGTGGAAATATTCATATTGTTGTGGTCGTTGTTATTATTATTACTACAGTGCACTTATTTTAAACGTTTCTTTTTTTGGATACAGTTCTTAGATACTGATTCTTACTGATACTCAGGAACTGATTTTTTTTAATTGTATTTGTGGAATGTTAGTTTTTAAAGGGGTGAGAAATAAATGGAATTAAAAGAAAATGTATGGGAAACGAAAATCACAAGAAATTCTTTCTGTTTTTCAGGGATGGTGACGTCAGTCGGTATCTCGAATCTTCAGTATGTGGACATCAACTCTCCAAGAAATCTGTTCATTGTTGGCTTTTCTCTGCTGCTTGGAACAAGCCTTCCAGATTACATGTCGAAAAATCCGCATGCTATCCAGACAGGTGTAATATATTCAGTACAGATTTTACGTCAACCACGATCGCAACTAATTTCGAAAATAATCAACCTAGGTGACTTTAATAGCCTCGTTCGTCGCCTTTTGTAATGAACAAACTTGAAGTTCACCTTCTACGCATTCCGTACATGGATTTAAAGCCCCACTGTCCTACTTGTAGCTACTTGCTCCCTCTATATAGAAATCTTCCCCAATCGGTGCCTGTTGGTCCCTCATGATCCTCTTTTTCTGATGTTGAGAGCTGAGTTGATGAGATTAGCCACCTGCCAGTGACCTGGCTGGGTGGTCTATTCCATGTTGGCCCATTAGTAATGACGGTCTTTAAAGGTACTTAAAATAAGGTTTAAATTAAAATTGCCCGTGAATTGATTCTTTTTCGGAAGTAGTTGCAATCGGGTTTTCACAATAATCAGCGGATTAGCGTGAGTCCACCCACTGGGCTAGGTATTGCACAGAACACTAGCCCCTGTTTTGAAGACGTATTAGATATTAGTGTTAATTTATAAGGGTCCAAAGGCCTGCAGGCTCACTGAACGCGAAAAAACTAAACTTATAATATTATTTGGCTTAATACATGTCTTTAAGCCCTTCACAAGTATTATTTTTTTACCCTGTTATCATTTCACATTCCCCACTCCCTATGGAGTATTCCAGCCAGTCGCCATTTTACAGAGGCTCACATTGCTGAGAAAAATACAACGACTTCCGCATTATACCAAATACCCATTTAACAACTTGGTGGAGAGTGAATTAGTGTCTAAAAGAGTGTTAGTGCCAAGGTTGGATTCGAACCTTCAACCCTAGGATTGAGAGTAAAATGAAGAATATACTATGACACGACATCTCCAGATCACGAAATGAAAAAAAAAAAAAAAAAACTTAAAGGGATCCGTTAACTTTGTCTCAGATTTTGAAACACGATCCTGGATTTAGCTCATGCTGCAATGATAATTATAAACCTTTAGGTCAGTCAGGAACCCTATGACTTTTACAAGTCGATCGCTTGGCCTATTATCAAGATATTTATGATTTGAATTACAAAATTTTCATAACACTACCGTCTATTGGGGAAAACGAGTATGGTAAAACCGGTCACCCAAAGATTTTTACTTTTTTGAGGCACTTCTTGATCAATTTTTTAGGGCTTCAATATTACACCAAATCACAGACACTGACAACACGTAGGACCGTGCATCTCAGATTTAACATTGTTAAACGATCCTTTTAGCGTATTCACTTATTTGTGTGTCAGTTCAATGTCGATAACGCACTTACCCTGAGGGCGCGTGCATTTTCGCTATGGGCACTGATTAACTAACTTGGTGCACTGGCCCTGCCCTAGCATACTCGCAATATTGCATTATTTGTTTTATAAGATGGGTCGCGATCGGTAATATATTCTTACAATACGTTATTACACTCAGACTAAGGCAAATGTTAAGTGAATCTGAAAATGTAATTTGCATCTCTGAACGTGATGTTAGGCGATGTTTTGGGGCACTTCAGACTAATAAAGCCCCGGGGCCTGACGGTGCTGTACAAAGTACTCAAGCTTTGTAGGGATCAGTTAGCCGGGTTATTTAGTGAACTTTTCAACCATTCACTGGAAAGGGAATACATCCCGACTCTTTAGAAAACATCCTTGATAAGAACAATTCCTAAAGGGAAAAAAGTGAAGGAGCTTAGTAATCTTCGACCCTTTCACTCACTTGTAGTGTCATGAAATGTTTCGAAAATATCATAATGAAGTACCTTCTTGAGTACACTTCCCTTTATATTGACCCCATGTAGTTTGCATACAGATGTAAGCGAGGAGTTAATGATGCAGTATTAACAGACCTACATATGGTATACGCCCACTTAGACAATGCTAAGACCTATGTAAGATCCACTTTCGTGGATTTTTCCGGTGCTTTCAACACTATTATCCCCACCTTCTGATAAACAAACTCTTTTATATTGGACTCCCACCCAGTTAAGTCTGTGGATACAGAGTTTTTAAGTGACAGACCACACTAAGGTAACGCCTAATCCTGTCCAAGAATTGTGAATACAGTGGCGCCCCAGGGCTGTGTCATCTCCCTTGCGCTCTTCTCCTTCTACACAAGTGACTGTCAATGTAATGTAAGAGAGTGTAGCATCATCAAATATGCAGATGATACTGTTATCACAGGTTTTCTTTCTAAAGATGTAGACCTATCAGTTAAGGTTATAGATGAGTTTGTAAAATAGTGCAATGACCACTTCATAATACTAAACGTAACTAAAACAAAAGAGATCATAGCGCAGTGGGTTTTTAACCTCTTTCTAACATATTTATTGCCGCTGTTCTGTCCGTAGGATCAGCGACGGTTGATCAAATTTTTGCAGTCCTTCTTGGTACTAGCATGTTCATTGGTGGATTAACAGGCTTCATCCTCGACAACACAATACCAGGTATGCAAACAAACTATAGAACACAAAGTCATATTGAGTGTCTAATATCATCGTCATTTAATTTTCACGGACATGGACGTATATATATATATATAATATATATATATATAAAAGTGCGTATAAAAAAGTGTATCCAACTTAGGTAGCTCTTAATTAAGCAGTCATAACCATTATGACTTTAATATTGGTTTCATGATAAAGAATAACTTATTTTCTGTCCAATGATACCGTATTCATAATATTTCTGCCACGGGTAAATGAGCACGAGAGTCTTTAAAAAGTGTTGTCAAAATGGCCTTGTTCCAAGTTTGGGTTTAAGGAACTAATGTTTTAAATCCTTTTAAAAGTCACATTTTGCCTCGTGCTTCAGTGCTTCACTGTTTAAACTGATGCAATGTACCGATGCTTTCTAGGAGCCTTGTTTCAATCCACAGGGTAACCTCTAAATATTTTAAACAGTCTACTAACTTCTTTAACTTGTTTCATGATATCTATATAAGGCCGTTCTGCTCACTTGTCCACTGCGCTATTTCACGCGCGTAAGGAGCATAAGGTGTTTATCCCGAATGGCGTAAGAAAACTCAACGCTTGCAAGATAGAGGAAATATCAGTCCAGTTCAGATCTGTTCAGTTCAGTTTATTAAGTTTTCCCAAGCATACAAACAATATTATAGTATTTACAAAAAAGGCAAATACACATAGTAGGAGAAAAAACGGTAACTACAAAAAAGTTTAAAAATACTTGTATGGATTAGTTCCTCGTAAAGGGACAATTTACATGGTATAAACAATTGCAATAACAAAATACAAATTATGCAGATTGATCAGTAACAAACTTTACCAAAAAACATCAACAATCATACAAGAAGGGTGGGGGGGGGGGGAGGGGTAATGGTAATTGTAAATTTAATGAAGATTTATTTTTATTTTTTATAATAATCATCAATGTATAACCTTTTCAACTTTGGTTTAAATTAAGTTATATATGTTGAACTCTTTATTTCCTCTGAGAGATGATTCCACAAGCGTGGACCACTGTGTCTTAATGAATTAACTAAACACTGTGTATTAACTTTAGGATAATGAAATTTATTACTTGAACGAGTATTGTGATAGTGGACTAAGGTTCAGTGACACAAAGAGGTGTACTCACATTTTGCCTAAACGAGTTTTGATATCAAAATGTTCAGAAAATGTGGGCCTTCCAGGAAACACAAAGACTTAACTCCACACAACACCCCATTGACGTCAATGGCTAGTAAAACATAGTCGCCTTAACTCCTTAAGACCTAAGTGCTCAGTGACACATTAACCACTTTGTCTCAAAATGTCCAAAATGGAATTACGTCTTTGTGTCACTGACCCCTCGATATGATGATAAATATCAATTAAATTGACAACAGACTTTCATTTTAAAAAGATCACATCCCAATTAAACACTATCCATTTTGTATCACTTAATGAGAACATTACCTTAAACAGGGGAAGCGAGGGAAGCGAATGAAGTGAAGATTGTAATCATCATAAACAAAGAGAATGTAATATTTGTGCTAGATTTGGCACAGTTGAAGCGAGGTTCGTTATGCAGTGTTTAAAATGATAATAAAAGAGGAAAAATTGATAAAAACAAATAGAAACTAATTGGTTGTGGTTTCCAATATAAGCTTTAATACAATTGTGTATAAGCGTAATTTTAGTAATTTTGTTGCCATTCTTCAATGATAACGATGAAATAGATGTTGATGTTGATTATAATAATAATCATCAACGTTATTATTATCTGAATAATGTCAAGTACACAATGGCAAATATCAGAAGACAGATGCTTGGTATATGTGAGAAAGGTCTAGCAATCACAATAATCATAAATCATTCATGTCCGATCGAAAATAAACTGTATTATTGCCACGATGCCTAAAGCATATCTATCCTCTGAATGATAGTGTTTAACAAAATATTTAAGCGAAAAACGCTTACTTATGAGGTCGTGCTAGATGGTGAGTTACGACCGCTACATTGTGAAAAATTCATTATTTTCTGAAAGAGCTGAAGAAATCATACACACACGCAAATATGGCAAAGTTCAAGCAAAGTTATGTGATACACAGTTTACAGCACTTAGCATGCGTGGTAAGAGAAGGAACACGGTCATCCATACAATAGATAATGATAATGATAATGATGAAACAATTTTGATCATACTGATGATAATAATGGTGATGGTGATAATGTTAATAAATAATGGTCACATTATCACCATCAATCTATTAGCATTTCGTTCCAATATTTGCATGATTTTAAGAGAATATACTTAAACCTTATTCCTCTGTATACCATTGCAGTCATTAATTAAAAAAACAGTTTACATGCAAAAGGGATACTACATTCAATACTGAATTCACCCAGTCATTTATTTTACTACACGGGACACACTACATGTGTTACATACACAGTACATCTAATGAAGAGAAGTGCATGAGAGCGGAACATGACGTCTGGAGTATTTAACGACGATGTTATTGTTATCTGATTAATGTCATATTATGCGTTCAACCAAGTAACAATGCAATCAAGCCTGTTGTGTGAGAAGTTTAAAAGTAACTATTAATAGATGAGGAAATTTGAACCAAGTTGCTTTCTAGGGCATCCTAGGTCACTGCATGAGCTACCTCACGCGGATCATGACGGCTCATTACCCTTGATGAAAAGAACTATACATGATCAAAACAATTTCCGGGGAAGAGAGAAGGGTCATACGAGGTAGTCTAGCTGGGGGTTACTTTTCCAAGCTGCATTGTCCTGGGGGTAATACGCGAGTTCGTAAATACATGTTCGATATTCAATTTCTACCTAGCAACAACTGCCTTTGAAGGTGTCTACATAGCTTGACTTTAAAACCTCAATAAAGTTTGAGTTATCCTCAGTTTGGAGGTCATAGGCTTAGGAGTGATGTAGTGACATTTGACCTTTGTTTTGTTTTACTGCCAGCCTCATCAAGTGTTATCTTTAGGGAACCAATTCCCTGGATTTGCACATGGCCACTTTCAACTGTACCACCCATTAACTTTTGTGTTAGTGCATACCACGTGCAGCTCACTGTGGTAATACGTATATGCAGCCATGCACTGTACTCACACTGATTTTTTGTTTGACCTAATTGACTCCTGTGCTGTGTTGTGATGTTTTGATGCTGTATATTCACTAGCCTAGCCACAGTTTATTTCCGTCATCTTTATCACCTTATTCTTGGAATTGGGAAACCCGTTACCATGCCTCCTGCTAAAAAATACCCCCCGCAGAGATTGCTCGCCATGTAATGACCGAGCTTGGAAATAGTGATTTGTTGACTAATATCGTGGAAAAGGCAGTGAAAAAAGCAGTATCAGAAGCGGTCGCTGGCCTAGTCGTCCGTCTCGAGGAGCAGGAGGGGAGAGTTCTGGAGCTGGAGGGGCAGGTTCGGGCTCATGCGGAGGAAATTAAGCGCCTCACGAAATCTGAGGAAAGCTGCAGGGATGCTGTTTCCCGTCTCGAGCGGAAGGCTGACATCCAGGAGCAACACTCCCGGCGCAACAACCTCCGTATCCATGGCATTAAGGAGCGCCCACAGGAGTCTACGGATGATGCCATCTGTCGGTTGGCTGATCAGCTGGGGTTTGCGATCACTCCAGCTGACATTGACCGCTCCTACCGCACATCACCTGGAGGCGGCAACGGTGCAGCAGTGGACCGGTCGAAGGATCGGCCCATAGTTACAGTTCGGCGCCTACCGCACAAAAGTCAACTTTACTCAAGCCCGTTCCAAGCTCAAGGGAACGGGTATATATATAAATGAGGATTTGATTGCAACAAATCAGAAACTTTTTCACAAGGTGCGTCACTCGGAGAAAGTCTTGAGGGCGTGGAGCATCGATGGCCGCATATTTGCTGGCATCAAGGACTCACATGGTGGTTTCATCAAGAAACTAGTTACATGTGAGGCAGATATTGCCAAACTATGAACTCGTTTTTCCTATTGCTCTGTCTTTTACGCACTTCTCTTTTCTCTCCTTTCGATCCAACATTGTTCCATACCACATTTCTCATGGCAAATTCTGGCTGGCAGTAAACATGTTCCAGTGTTCTACTGCTTGTTTCATTTATGTTTATCTTTTCCGCTCTCTATCCCTCTTCCGCTGTTTTTCTTTCTCTTGCCAATTTTTCTCTCACCTTTTCCATGTTTTATCCTGTTCTTCCTATGCCTATAATGCATATTTTTGAGTATACTCAACCGTTTTTGTTGTACATATTTATGTCCTTTTCTTTTGTACGTAGTAGGCTGCCTTTCTATGTCAATCATTGTCAATTATATTGCACTCTATACATGTATGAATCTTTAAATGATGATCACAAATGATGATGATATACGCAACTATTTTGAATCTAGCGCAGACTCGTTAGAGTATGATCTTGGTGAAGGCAATGACGCTGTCATGAGTCACTGTAGTTATTGTACAGAAAGCCAATTCTCTCAAAAGATTGGTAATTCTGGTGATAACGAGCTTTCTTTTCTTTATTTTAATGTTCGTAGTATGCAAGCAAACTTTGATAAATTAAATGTATTTTTGCGGAACATGTGCTACAGTTCTATGGTTATAGGAATTTCTGAAACTTGGTTATCAAGTGAAATTGAAGGAAATGTATTTTCTCTTCCAGGAAGTAATATGATTATGAATAATCGACAAGATAGGAGGGGAGGAGGTGTCGCATTGTATGTCCCCACACAGTTGAATTACCGAGTTTTAAATGAAGTTAATGTAATGAATGATTTAATGGAAAGTGTTTTTGTAGAATTTTTTTTTCCGGGCAGACGAAATGTTATAATTTGGGTCGTTTATAGACCACCCCAAGGTAGTGTGAATTTGTTTATAAATGAAATGCAAACTGTGTTATCAAATTCAATATTTTTACATAAAACAGTCTTTGTCATGGGTGATTATAATGTTAATCTTCTTCAGCACGATGTGAATGCATACGTTTGTGACTTTTTAAACATGTTTATATCTTTCTCTTTATTGCCCTTAATTACTAAACCTACCAGAGTTAAAGACACGTCTTCTACTCTCATTGATAACATTTTTTAGTAATGTACGACCTTTACCAGATGCGGGTATTATAATTTCTGATTTGTCAGACCACTTTCCAGTATATGCGAGGATGTCTTTTGGTAGGAATATCCGTAATATTTCTAGTAATAGATATGTTCGAAAAAGTAATCCTACCAGTATTGCTAAATTTAGAGATGAGTTGTTAGCAAGTGATTGGAGAGAAGTATTACGTGATTATGATGTTGATAGCTCATATGATAAATTCTTAAATACATTCTTTTTGCTGTATGATAAAAATTTACCTTTACGTAAATGTAATAGTAGAAATCGTAGAACAACCCCTCGATTGCCATGGATTACTAATTCTATATTGAGGTCTATAAACAGGAAAAATAAGTTGTACTATAAGTATAAGATAAGTAAATCTCAGTCTTCTCATAGGAAATATACTATTTATCGGAATACTCTTACTTCAATCCTACGTGCTGCTAAGAAGCAGTATTACTGTGCTCAATTTCAGGCGACTCATAATGATATAAAAGGGACATGGAAAGTGATTAGGAATGTTTTTAAGCCAAAGCAGAAAGCGTCTGATGTAAGTAAATTAAACATTGATGGGAATGTAGTTGATGATCCAGAAGTTATTGTAGATAAATTCAATGAATATTTTTGTAATATTGGCCAGAATTTGTCGCGTGTCATTCCAGAGTCTCAAAAAACATTTCGATCCTTTTTAGAAAACCCTAATCATAATAGTTTATTTTTATTGCCAACGAATGTAGAAGAATTATGTGATATTGTACATTCTTTAAAGAATAAGAAAAGTCCAGGTTGTGACTATATAACAAATGAGTTGATAAAAAATGTAATTATTGGTATTGTAGAACCCCTCGTACATATATTTAATATATCAATGACCACTGGTGTTGTACCCATGAAAATGAAGATTGCAAAGGTTGTGCCCATTTTTAATAAGGGGGATGCCCTTATCTTGAATAATTATCGTCCTATTTCTTTGTTGAATTCCTTTTCTAAAATTCTTGAGAAGCTAATGTATACTCGGACGATAAAATTTCTGATGAATGCTAACATTTTGTCAAATTTTCAGTTTGGTTTCCGTGAAAAACACACTACAACTCATGCTATTCTACACTTGGTGGATAAGATATCCAGTGCCTTAGATGCACGCATGCATACAGTTGGTGTCTTCTTAGACTACTCTAAAGCATTTGATACTGTAAATCATTATATTTTAATAAATAAACTGTGCCATTATGGTGTAAGGGGAATAGCATTAGATTGGTTTAGAAGCTACTTAACAAATAGGAAACAGTTTGTTACTTTAAATGGAATTGATTCAGATATGCGGGACGTCACTTGTGGGGTCCCTCAGGGATCCCTTCTAGGCCCGCTTTTGTTTATTGTGTATATTAACGATTTTCAACTTTCCGCAAAGATGTTATCATTCATTTTATTTGCAGATGACTCAAGTGTATTTTTCTCTCACAGAAATCCACAAACTCTTTTGCAGACTGTAAACTCCGAGTTGACTTATGCGACTTTGTGGATTCATGCAAACAAGTTGTCTTTAAATCTAAAAAAAACTAATTATATGCTCTTTAGTAATTCTTTGAGTATATTGCCTGGCAATGTAATGTTTGATGGTGTTGAGATTGAAAGGGTATCTACAATTAAATTTCTTGGCTTGCATATTGATGAACATTTAAATTGGAAGTACCATATTAGTAAGCTTTGTAAATTATTGTCACGAAATACTGGTGTAATTTATAAATTGAAATCTGTGTTCCCGCTGAATATTTTACGTATGTTGTACGCAACTTTAATTTTGCCATATTTGCACTATGGTGTGCTAGCTTGGGGCAACTCATTCAAATCTCAAATGGATAAATTACTACTGGTACAGAAAAGAGTAATACGAATTGTTTGTAATACTCACTATCTTGCGCATACAGATGTTCTTTTTTGTACTAGTGGTGTTTTGAAAGTTGAAGATATTTATCATTTACAACTAGGAGCTCTAATGTATGAATTGAATGCAGGTCTACTGCCCGTAGCCTTGGCTGGAATATTTAAGAAAAATAACCAAGTTCATAGTTATTCCACACGACAGGCGCAAGCATATCACTTACCTCTTGTTAGAACGCAATTTGCCCTTACTACTTTGGGGTCCACTGGACCTAGGTTTTGGAATTCCCTTGAACCAAGAATAGCGCAATCGGTCAGTATTTATGTATTTAAGCGCAAACTGAAGTTACTGTATTTGAGTCGATATCGTCTAGATTTATAGTTGTGATCAATATTTAAGAAAATTATTTGCTATATAGGTCAGCATAATTCTACTCCCGTTTCTAACATCCATTCATCTGTCTGTCTTGTTTAGTTTTTGTCTGTATTTCATTCCTGTTGCTCGTAGTATATTCCTGTTCCAGTTGTTTATAGCCATTATTTAGTACTCAGTAGATTTTATTGTACTTATTTATACTTTATCAGTTGTTTAGTTAGTATTAGTTTTGTAAGCATTTAAACGTACACATTATTCTTATCTGACGAGTTTGTTCTTTTAGGACATACTCATGAACTACTCATGAGGGACCTTAAATCCACAAGCCTTGCTTTCAACCAAGGTCACCTCATCTTTCTATTGTAACGCCATATTCTGTTCACTCTTTTATATTTATGTCATATTTGTAATGTGTGTTATGAAAGAAAGATAAATAAACTTGAAACTTGAAACTTGAAACATGTAGCTCTGGAACGCATGACCCCAAAATATCCACAGATCTTTTACACGATGGATACGTCCCACATGTGCATTTTAGAATAATCACTGCCAAAGGGATGGAGGTGCTTCATGAATACCTTTTGTTTGCCTCTTGAGAAGAATACTTCCACATGTGTATCAGATAAATGTACTGTTGGTGCATAAATGAATACTGATTACATACATTTCATGTGCACGATCCGAGTATTCGTCTCAATGGTTTTACAATTTGGGTACGAATGACCTTTAGCTGCCCATGCGCAAATCCTAGTCACGAACTCGCTTATTGACCGGGGATAATAGTCAAGGGGATGGTCCTCCAAGAATCAAATAAAACATCAGATTAGATTATATAGGTTGCACACCAGTATACAAAAGAGAAATTCTGGGTATTTTTGGAAATTTACTTCGACGTTTTAAATCCCGGTACTATACTCTCCAAACTCTCTTTACAGGTACACCTGCTGAACGCGGTATAGGAAAGATGCTAAGCATGTACAGCTCTTCCAAAAACGACGACGACAACGATGACGCAATCGGAGACGATAACGAGCTCAAGACCGAAGTCTCTCGCCTCGTCAATCAATGTTATGAATTACCCTACGGAATGTCTTACATCAGAACCTGGGCGTGGACATCGAGGCTTCCATTTTGTCCGACATTTTCTGGTCTTGACTGCAACTGTAAACCCAAGGATCAACTCTGGAGGCGGAAACCAAGGGAAACCGACGGAACCGACACCAAAGAGAAATAAGAACACACGACAGATATGTGCGAAGATATTCCGTCGTCTTTCTGTCGTGCGCGTTTGCATACGCGGCGTCATTCCGATTGCATTATCACCTGCGCTAATTGAGTCTGTAAATGAGAGGTGTGTATCCTCTCTAATTCACTTAAGTATTCCCTCAATGGTCATTTTGCATTCCCTTGTTGTACGGGGTCACTTTCTCAAGGCGCGTCAAGTACTGACGCAGTCCTATACGTCAGGCAACTGAAGCCTCATGTGTAGATTATAGGTTCCCATAAATAAAACTAACATTTGATTGAAGTGGTTGTAATGGTGAAGGACGTAACAATAATATTGGGGCAAGAAGGCCTTGACATGAGATGATATACAACGTGAAACAAGCAAAAATAGCAAAAATAGCAAATACAGCAAACAAATTAATTTGTTACAAAATAAATGACACGATAGTCACTTTAAAATATCGAGGTCATGGAACGAGGTCACTCGAGCGAGGCAGTAGACATGCAAAATCATGAGACAGTAATGTATACAATAATATATAGGCCGTCGTAGCCCAGACACAATCCAGTTTCCAACATGCATTCAAACCCATGCACGTCTATGGCGCGCCATTTGACCAATAATTCAGATAAACACTGTTTATCGCCGAAAAACAGTGTTTATCGAGCGATAAACAGTGTTTATCTGAATTATTGGTCAAACGACGCGACGATAAACTCTGTTTATCGATAAACATTGTTTATCGAAAAGCAGATTTATTTGTATTTCGTCGGGAGTGGGCGCTTTTCCAAGTTGCACTCAAAGAGATTCGATCACACGTAGTATGTCCTCCGGAAGAGGACTAGAGGGGCAGCTTAATTGTTAGCTTTGACATTCTATAGCTTTGCATGGGATGCATTATTATTTGAACGATTTTGGACGGCCAATGTTTATGAGCAAGGCCTTACAAAAGACGCCAATTGCTGTTTGTTGATTCGTTATCAACAAAATGTTTTACAATACTAATAACGATAATTATAATGATAATATCTGATGAACAACAATAATAATGGTACAAAGTAATAGTAGTAATAACAACAATAATGTTATGTTAAAAAGTACTCGTAAAACTCAGTAAATACCTGTGCTTTCCATAGGATGTTGATAATTGAATGAATCATATGAATTTCATTTAAAAATATTCACATTTCTAAATTTATTAAAGAGAAACAGCCCATTCTTGGGTTAATTTTCTCATTCGATGTAATATAATGTTATGTTGCATTTATAAAGATCATTATATAAATAAATATGTCGATAAATGAGTTCATAAATGTTGATAAAAAGACTTAGTACTGATGCTTATTTCGTGTCTTTTCATTTTCTTATTTTGTGAAAGATATGTGATGATGGTGGTGATTATGATGGCACTCTGTAATCATAATGCTGTATGACTGAGGTGTGCAGGCGCGCCGGAAGCAGTTTGGGGATGGGTGGGGGGGGGGGGGGGGCAAATATTCCAGGGGGCTCACCTTCCAGGGGCAGTGGCGTAATGAGCAAAAACGTTTGGAAGGGGGGTGGCAGATGAAAAATCTGCATCACCACCACTCTTACACGTTACATGCAGGCCCCGCGGAACGTTTTTCAAAGTGGAGTATTAACGATCAGGTAGAGCATAAAGTGGCGTGGGGTCCAGGGCCTGAGCCCCGGCAGGGGGTCAAGGGGCTAAGCCCCCGGAAGCTTAGGGTTTTTAGGCATTAAATTACAGTCAGATAAGCATATTTAGATACCTTATTTGTGACACTGGCAGTTCACTAATTGGGGACTCTGCCCCATGGACTCCCCGGAAGCTCAGGGGTTTTAGGTATTTAATTACGGTTAGATGAGCATCCAGGGGCCTGCCTTAGGGCCGTTGGTGGGGTCCAGGGGGCAGATCCCCCGGAATCTCGGGGGTTTTAGGTATTCAATTACAGTCAGATGAGCATATTTTGATACCTCATTTGTGACATTGGCAGGTCACTTTATTTGTTCTCTCTTTCTTTCTTTTTCTCTGTAACATACTTTTTCAAAAAGTGAGGGCGGCTCTAGCCCCCCGAGCCCAGCCGTTGTGCAGGCCCCGACGTGAAGGCTTCCTAAAAAAGCATATTTTTCGTCCGACTGTAAATTTGGGAATTTCTAATTTTAACAAACGCATAACAACATATACCTATGGGCGGTGATTGATACTACATTCCAGTCTAGACTTGTTCATTATGTTGCGTATGTAGTGCGTCGAAATATCAGTTCAATGATTGGTAGGCTCTGCAATCAGGCGAAAATTTGAGCTTGTTTAGTAAATTAATAGTTTAAACATATAACAATTGTCTATCGTATACCTGAAGGGGGCGCTATTCCACTTTTAATCATTGTCATCGTCATTTAAAACCAACAAATCATCATCATCATCAATATCGTCATTATCGTATTTATGAATATTATCATTAGATCATCATCGGCACACTTTCATGATACAAAAATAGCATACGTATCACCTAATTCGTCAAAGTTACGAATTTAAGTCTAGTATTTATTTTGTTTCTGTATGGAAGAATTTATTATTATTCTTCCGTAAACTTGTTCACAGGATATCTCAATAATGGAACCAGCCATTGTCATGAAACTTGGCCTGAAGATAGATCTTAGTCCAACTTAGAACTGCCTGACTTTACAGCGACGCCAGGTCATCGTGAGGTCATCATGACGTCAGTATGTGAAATGTCATTAATGGTCGTACCTCAGCCATGCAATATCAATTTCAATTCAAATTTGACATAAAATCATGCTCAGGTCATGCGTCAGAATTTTAGCCCACGCACATGCGCCTTCCATTTCAAACGTGCGCTTACGCGCGCGTCAAAAAGAAATAAGAATTTAAAGTGCTTAAAACCCCAAACCAAGTTATCTTTTATACGTTTCAGACAATTGTAAGCGTTTCAAAAATTTCCGCGCGTGCGGATCTGTCCGCGTATTTGCGCGCATAACGTACGTGGAACGGAGAAATTCCCTTTTTTGCATTTTTTGGATTCCTGATACTTTCCTCAACAAATCCTGTAAATTTCAGTCAGTTTTGACACATAATGATGGAATAAGCGGGCGTCAAAGATAACAACACGCGCGCGCACATATTTGCAATTTTAAAACAAAAACATGCCTATGTTTAATTGGTCATAACTTCTATAAGTGCCCGGATAATCCAATTTCTTTTAATAACTGGATTAAGTATGAGTTGTATATATTATTTCATACATCTTTTTGGCTTATCGGATTTTCCGATATCATCATATTGCTCGTTCAAGTCAAAACTTTTAATTTTAATAGATTTTAATTGATTAAGTAATTAATGACAATGCACGTTGGACCATATATTGTTCATCTTTATTCGAATTTCTCCAAAAAAAAAAAAATTATTGTGTTGTTGCTGAGGTTTTTTAAATTACTTGTGACATTTATTTTCCATTTGAATGACGGGATCATGACGAAATTTGTGGTCAAAGACGACGAGTCCAAATCAAACTTCAGTTTTTACACGCACTTGTGATGACGATCGAACTCAAATGATCGCAGTAAAATTGTAAACGTCCCACAGAAGTCTGCCATCACTATAAACGCGTCTTAGATTGGTCTTCACTTGTGCTCGTCATTAATTGTCTTACCGCTGGAGACTTGGAGATGTCTTTTCTCTAACTGCTTTTGATTCTTTTTTTTATGCTTCAAATTTGTCAGATCAAAATGGGATAAAATGACCCTTCGCAAGTCTGATCTTAAATTTATCGACCGTTGATACTCCAGACCTACAGGCAAACGATTTAGATGACATATTTTATGATCCCACGGGCAGTGGAAACTACCTCGCACTTTTGGTCATCTTAACGTGTATTCTTTGTTCAAGCCCCCAATTCAATTCCAAATTTCCAACGTTATTTAAATTACACGAGGGTTTGTATCTTTCTACAAAATACACGATAAACAATTAGCCGAAATAACCTCGTGTCAAGTTTAGCTGAATGAATGCGGGTATTATTCGATGGTAAAAAGTTTGTAAAACGAATTTGAATTAAAGGGAGACAAAAATCTTTTCTCAAAGTTTGTTTGTTGATTCAGGGAAGCAGGGTGGGATCCAGCCGGGGGCGATTCTCAATAACATGAAGCAAATAGTAAGCATCTAAAAACTTCAGATGCCTGTTTGATTATGATTTAAATTTGACTGTATGCCTCAATCATATATAGAGAATATAACCACTAATTTCGCTGAAACGATTCTCCTCCTCCCCGTTCTTCTTCATCTTCTACTTCCTAGTTGTAGTAGTTGGAGTAGTAATAGCAGCAGTATCATAATAATCATTGCTATATTTATAATTATAGTAAATATCGTAATTATAATCATTATTATAGTAAGTGTGTGTTATTGTTATTATTCTTATAGTTATTTGTATGCTTTTTCTTCTGATCATAATTATCGTATACACAATACGTCATGTGCCAATAATTTATTGCTATGATACATCCAAGATGTCTACCAAAACTGTCAATTCGTTGCTGAAATAATCAAGCCAAAAGAAGGAACATTAGAATTTCTACTTTAAATTGAAATAAATTATATAGGAGAAATAAATAGAAAATACAATCATGATTTTGGAACTAGGGGATTAACATGGACATAATGCACTTGTTTACATGACCACAATATCTCTTATTCATTCTACCTCCAATTTTTCAGACTGTTTTCAAAACAATATCATGTTTGTCGATCATAGTTCTATGTAGCTTGATGTCTCATGGTAATTTAAGCAATCTAAGCAACAATTTCTGAATTTTAGCGACAATCGTTCGCCTTTGCTGCTCTTTAAAGGTGAAATTCAAAGAAAATCACAAATATGTCAACTAATGTATCACTAGAAACTGGTAAGCTAACAGATTGCCATCGTACAAGTTTTAGGTCAACTACATATCGGGTGATTTACAAAAATACAAATACAACCACCTCCATAGCAGCTGGAATATACGAGAGATTCGCCGGAAAAATAATGATGTTTTAATGACGTCACTATATGGACCAATACTGCCCAAGCAGACGACATCCCAAAAAAGAATGAACATAATTGCAAAGCTATTATTTGTCAAATTATAATGAGTTTAGTGTATATAAATGAAATGGCATGTCAAACCATTCAAAAGGGATATGACCCGATTCTGATAACTAAAATCTTTTGCTTGTAAATACACAGGATAGGGGTTAATTAACAATCAAAGAAACCAGATTTTCAAATTGAAAACCCCCCGGAATGATATTAAGGACGGCATTTTGTTCCCTCTTGAAACGCCGAACATACCGCGTAGTGTGCAGCTGAATATACAATGGCGTCTTATTTTGCTTACAAGCAACAGATTCCTTTATTTTTGTATCGCTGCATTTGTCATCAAAATAAACCATGCGCGGGGTTTAGAGTGAGGCAATAGATTATATATTTAGCCTGACGGTAGTGAAGTAAGAGAAAGAACTCAAGAGAAGATGAAAACACAGGCACTGAAAATGTGTGAGATGTCATGGGACATCGTCTGCTTGTGCAAATCATGTCCATACTGTGATCTCACACATCTCAGCAGCGTTCGGAGAGCTCTTCAGGTGCTATGCCGGGGCTGTATTTAAGCGTTTTGTAATTTATAATAATCATTACTTCGAATGTGTCCACGCATTGAATTTTGATAACCTTGTCGAATCAAAGCTTCAACTTTGCAATAATGAAAATAAAGTTAGTTTTTAAAATCAATGAATATCTACTTTAATACTATTATGACGTGCAGTAAGAAATTGAAATGTCAGAACTCATGATAAATTCATTTAATAGTTGATTCCACTTGGTTGATTCTATTGTTCGGGTTATTTAGCAGAACGAGATAGAAATTGACATTCTCATGGCTAACGTTTTATCGTTAGTAGTTGTTTATCGTCTCTACAATGCTATTTGAACAATATTTGGTGACAAAAGACGGCATTTCTTTGTAGCGTCAAAAGACGGCATTTCTTTGTAGCGTCAAAAGCCGTCAAATAACAAAACATGGCACATAAAAAGATCCTCAGTACTGGGTCTGATTTAAAGGAAACTTAATTTGAACCCGGCCATATTCTGTCTCTCTCTCTCTCTGTCGCTCGCGTTTGTCATTGCCTTCATTTTCCCTCGCTTACTTCATTCTTACCACGGAATATGTAATGTGTATGCACGTGTATGCCTCAATCATTGAGAATATACTCACTAATATCGCTGAAATGATTCTTCTCCTACCCCTTTTTGTTCATTTACTT